CATGTACCATTTTCTTTCTGGAACTAGGTTATTTGACTCTAATATTTTCCAGTTCCATTCATTTACACCTACAATTTTTATAATTTCACTAATAGTATTCTCATTCATATTTATATGGTATTTTGAATAAGAATGGCCCCTACAGGCTCATATATTTGAATGTTGGTCACCAGGGAGTGACACTGTTTGAAAGGATTAGTAGGAATGTCCTTGTTGGAGGAAGCATGTCACTGGGAGTGGGCTTTTCAGAAACCCAAGCCATGCCTAGAGGTGCTCTCTCTTCCTGCTGCCTTCAGATCCCAATATAGAACTCTCAGCTACTGTTTGCCTGTGTACAACCATGGACTAAATCTCTTTAACTGTAAGCCAGTGCCAAGTGAAAACTTTCTTTTATAGGAGTTGCCATTGTCATGGTGTTTCTTCACTGCAGTAGGACATGGCCTAAGACCATATTTAACATTTTCATTGTCTACTTACCAGCCAAAGGATACTTAGATTGCTTACATTTCTTAGCTATTGTGAATAGAGCATCTTCAAACATGGATGGAGCAAGTATCAATGGAGTAGGATATCTAGTCCTTTGAGAATATGCTAGGAAGCTGAGTTATAAGGTAGATAACTTACTACATTTTGAGAATTCTTCATCATGACTTCCACAGTGGCTTATCTAGTTTATAATTTCACCAGTAGTGAATAAAGGTTTCCCTTTCCCAACATCCTCCCTAATATTTGTTGTCAGTAGTTTTATTGATCTTAGCTACTCTGTCTAGAGTGAGATGGTCTCAAATAAGTTTTCATTTACATTTCCATAACTGCTAAGGATGTCTGATTGTATTCTAATACTCATCCTTAACTCATGAGTATATGTACTTCTCATTCCTCATTAAAGAATTGTATCAGAGTGAGGCTAATATAAAAATCCACAGCTGATCAAATTGTAGGGGATGAGTACTCAACCACAATTGATATATCTACAATGCAAACCCTTACACATAAGGCTCAGAGACAATCATGAAAGAAGAGATGGAAAGGTTAAAATAACCTAAGAGCCAGGATACCTGCTGTTAGACAGTGCTTCTAGACATGACAGGGAAGCTGTATCTGTGAAATCTCAGCAGTGTTTGCCTAAACAAGTTCTTTGTAATAACAGCACTAGGAGTCATGACAATATTGAAGAGCTAAATTTCACCACTACCATAGGCAACAAGTTGGCTCTTGGAGAGGAGAATCAGTTTTTCCCTGAGATGCACTCCCTTGTAGGCTATCCCAATCCCAAGGGGTCAGCCCTAAACACATGGGCCAAATGGAATCAGTATGATATATGTAAGAGGTCATGAATTTGAGAGTGAATGGGGGAACATAGGAAGGACTGCATGTGAGAGAATGAAGAGTAAAAATGATGTCATAAAATGATGTGAATATAATATTCTTGTATAAAAGTCTGAAAGAAGTTAAAGTTAAAAAACAATAACATGGAAAAATATAGAAAGAAGCCAGGTACCCTTATTTGAGCTTATGATTCTGTACATAAGAGATCCTAAATGTTCTTCCAGGAAACCTTAGAACTTATAAATATTTTTAGTAAAGTTTCTGGATACAAAATTAACACGAAAATCAATGATGTTTCTGTATAATAAAAACAGAGGAAGAAATAAGGGAAACAATCTTACTCATAATTGCTTCAAAAATACCCTGCAATAATACAAGAAAGTGAAAGGCATCTACAAAGAAAACTTCAGATATTCAAAAGAGAAAAAATATTCAAGAGAAAAACCGAAGCAGGTAGGCAATAGAAAGAACTCAGATGCTCATAGATTGAAACAATCAATATTATAAAAATACTGTCTTATGAAAATCAATCTACAGATTCAATTCAATTATCATCAAATATCAACATTCAATTTGGAGAAAGGCTTCTATTACTGTGTTGAACTTCTTCTGGGGTGTAGAGAGGAAATCCCTTAATGTTGGTAGGATAGGAACCTGGGTGTAAAGTCTCATGGGTTAGTGACTAACATGAACATTGGTTTTTCAGAAAGTCAAATAGGAAGACAATGTTTGGCATGATCCAGAGGCTGATGGTAGTCTCTTTGTCCAAAGCCTATCAGGAACCAGTTTTGGCCATTCTTACTACAAAAAGAAAGTGTGTGTTCAGGGGTAGCCCGTGCCTCAATCTAAAACACCTCCCTCTTATAAATCACTCTGGTAGTGTATAGAGATAATGTCAATTGCTGGGCTCCCCCTAGTGGAAGGTGGTAAAATTGTAACTGTAAATAAGTTGAAGTAAAATGGAAACACCTTGTTGCTACCAAAAGCAGAAGCGCTAACCGATTGCGCCACTGGAGCACTCATGACCGAAGGGATTAAGACTGGGCTGGTTTAACCCCCAGAAACAGCTGACCTGACAAGGGTTAGCTCATGAATCCCAGACTGATGCCTAGGAATCTAGCATGGGAATGATCAAGACCCCCTGAATGTGGGTGTCAGTGAGGAAGCCTAGGTAATCTATTGAGCCTTGGGCAGTAGATCAGTATTTATCCTGGGTATACTAATGGACTTCGGACTTCCATCCAACAATGAGAGATTAACTCTCACCCTGAACTCTTGGGGGGAGTGCCTAGGCCCTGCCCTGGATGAAATGACAGACTATGGACACTCCCATGGAGGGCCTCACCCTCCCTGGGGAAATGAGAGGATATTGGGGGGGGTTGGTGGGAGGGCACAGGAGGAGGGGGAGGGAAATGGAGAAGGACCTGGAATTGATATGTGAAGCAACCTTGTTTCTAGTTTAAATTTAAAAATAAAAATATATAAAAAAGAAAAATAAATAAATATATTGTATTCCCTAAAAAAGAAACATGCCTTTAGCAAAATAAAATAATCTATAATCTTATAACCTCTCTCTCTCTCTCTCTCTCTCTCTCACACACACACACACACACACACACAAACACACACCTTTCTCATGAATTCAAGTATTTTCATAATCCTCATGGTGACTTTGTACTTACAGTACATTTGAAGGATCATTGAATTCTTGATCAGGACCTGAAAGGTCACATAACCAAGTTGTATCCAACATGCTTGAAGGAAGCTAGAAATACATGCATGTATAAGGGGCCTCAGAGCAGAAGGCAGGGTCCACATGTTTTCCTGCCTTTGCTAGAACATGTTAGTTTTCATCTATTTTATTTGGAGGTTTGGCTTTACAGGAATCCATTTCTAACAGAAATTTTCCAAAAAAAAAAAGCAGAAGACTAGCAGATATTCAAAAAAGCAGAACCTGGAAAGGCAGAACCATAAAAGCTAATATTTAACTGTAGTCAGAATTTTCAGCCTATTCTTAAGAATTTAACTGAGGTTGATGGAGTTTGGATTTTGTGTATAGCCATTTGTTCCCTACTTTGACCCTCAGTATAAAAATATATGTTCGAATGTACTGTCTTTGCAGAAAAACCTCTGATAACAAGATACCATCTATGAAGTCTGACAAACAAGAAGGCTTATAAAAGACTCTGAACAGGTCTGAAAACATATAGGAAATGACTAAGTTGCTTAAATTACGCATGAGTCCAATCATGGACCCGGCATAGACATGTCAATGTGCTGCACCAGGAAAAGGCATTTTGTGACCCCAGCTCCACATGCAGAATCTGAGAAAGTGCTTTTGCCAGCTCTTCTCAGCAATGGTCAGAAATAAGACTTGCAGGCTGCACAGGAACTCAAAGAAACAGAAACCCACAAATGGGTTTCCAAGTTCATCACCATAGCAAAGCCTGAAATGGCTTGAAGTTTTGACATCAGTCTTCCTTAGTCATGGTCTAAAATTAGTTCCAATATGGTCTAGAAACTCAGAAGTAAATGTGACTCTCTGAGACTTCCAGGCAGGTCTGTTCACCTTTGAGCTGAAAATGGCCCTTGTTACAGTCTTGCAACTCAGTTTCTTCCTCCTCAAAATACAACTTGCAGAGTTGTCAGCCTAAAAATCTAGGATATGACACAGTAAGATTCTTCCAGGGATCCAAAGGAAGCCAAATCCACTCTCACACACAGCATCAGGTCTATTATTTGCAGGTACTAAAATGGATCTCCATCTCAGAACAGCTACCACAGACCCTGGTAATAAGTTGCTAATCACACTGTGACTAAATACCAAAACATTTTAAAGAAGGAAGTTTTGACTTTTGCTTATGGTTTCAGAAGTTTTGATCCACTATAGTAGAAAGAATATGGGAGAGCAGACATGCCTGGCATCATAGAAGGCAGGGAGAGAGAATGTTTGCGCTATTTATTTTATCTGGCCTCACAATCAATGGATTGTGCTACTCAACTTATTTATCTGTCTGGAAATGTTTTCATAGATGTTTACTTTACTAATCCTAGGTGCTCCTGATTCTAACTAAACTGAAAGCCAAAGTTAATCATTGTAAGTCTATTCCTTGTTAACTTAACACTCAACCATATTTCATTAAATCGAATGTCTATTTCTGGTTCCCAAAAGGCTCTTGCCTATCTCCTAATTCATGTTTAGACTTAGTGAAACTGCGAAAAAATAATTAACTATAATGCTGGCTACCTCATTACAAATTCCTTAAGTTTAACAGTATCAGCTTTTCCTTCCTGCTGCAGTACTGGTTGACTGTGGGTACTGATCTGAAATTAAGACTTGTCTCCATGAGATATCCTGGAATTTCTTGATTAGCCTCCTAATTAAGGGAGAAGCATGTTTAGTATAGGAAGAAAGTGTCCTAGTCCTGACAACCAAGAGTAAGTTCTCTTTTTTTCGTTATGAAATTATAATACAGACAACATTTTTCCTTTTGAATTCTTCCCCAAGCCCTCCTTCCTTGCTATCTTTCAAATTTTTGCCTTCTTTTGTCGATAAGCCTTATTGCATGTACACATGTATATGTGCATACATATACATTCCTAAATATAAATTTATCATTCCATATAAAGCTACCTGTATATATTTTCAGGACTAGCACTGAAAAACCAAGGTGTGCTCTTCCCTGGGGAAGACCATCTTCCCTGTTTCCAGTTTTATTCATTAATCTATAGTTCTTTGTTTAAATTTGAGCCCCCCTGGGTCTTTCCCTGTCCAACTTGGCATGTTCATTGGTGTCATCCTTGTTCAACTCATATTTGGGAAATCATGTGTTATGGTATATTCAACCACACCATGAACCCTAAGTTTGCATTTGCATTAAATAAATAAAATCAACCTTGGATGAGAAGGCCAAGTTAGCAACTAGTTGACAGAAAGTAATCATAGAGAATCAGAGGGTGTCTCTAAGATGATAAAGAGATGCACAGGAAGGAGTAGGGAGGGACTTTATGTGGCCTGGTTTTTGTTTGTTTGTTTGTTTTGGTGGAACAGAAGGATGTTCTCTTTTGAAGATGTCAGAAAAGAGAGAAGGTCAGGTAGCTGCTATTCGGCCTCTTTGACCTAGCAAGTTTTCATCCAAGTCTTTGACTCCTGAGCCTTATTATAAAGTAGAATAATAGAGATTTGATTAAAAGCTATATTTGGTGGCAGGGATATGCTCAGTGCCTGTGGAAACAGAATTACTACCAGGCCATGGCCTAAGTAGCTGGCCACTTCCACAGAAGCAGACCAGTAATTGCAGAGTCACAACTGCTGACTGAAATAGCAGTAGATTAAAGTTTAGTCTCTGTGCTGACAGGAAACAACAGCTAAGTTGTTGAAATTTTCTAGGTGCAGCTTCTGAAATGACTAGGAGACATAATTTCACAGCAACACCCTTGATCCTCTAGCTCTTTCTGCCTCCTCTTTCTGCAATGTTCCCTGAGCCTTAGATGCCAGTAGTGGTTTATAGATGTCTCTATTGCTGTTGGGCTCTACAATTATGCATACTGACTAGTCGTGGTTTTCTGTAATAGTTGCCTCTGGGGCACACAGAAGTTTCTTTGATTAGGGATAAAGACCATACTCATCTGTGCATATAAAGGTAATAGGTATAGATTGTTAGGGAATATTCTGGTTTAGTAGATTATTGGTTATAGACTCTCTTTCAATATCATTAGCACTGGGTAGCTGACTAGGTTTTCAGTCCCAGGCATAGTCCCACTCTCATTGAATAGGCTTTAACTCCAATTAGAAAGCTATTTGTCACTGCCAGGGTATATGTGTTATTGTTGTACCCTTAGGGTTATCATGTCATGCTGGATATTAATGTGGTTCTTCGGCATTATAGCTGGGTAGAATTGTTGATTGCCTCCCTCATTTGACAGTATAAGAATTTTAGTCCTCTAAGAGTGGTCATTCAGGTTAGTTCCATCTCAGGATTTTTGGATACTGATTCTGAAGTGTATGATGTTTTCAGTAATAGAGACTTATCTTCCATATCTTTCCTGGTATCTGTGGTTACTTCAACTGATTACTCATATCTAAAGGTTTAAAGTGAGTATGCTCAAGTATGAGAATCTTATTTTGACAAGTCAGTATAGCATTTTCTAATTCTATACATTCACTTGGAATATTAATTTCACTTTCCCTTATGGATGAATATAATCCCATTGTTTATATACCTCATATCCAGTTTCCACTCACAAGTTGAAGGATAAAAATTGTCTAGTTATTGTGAATAGGTCAGCAATGATCATGACTGAGCAAGTATGGAGTAGAATATTGTATCATTTGGAGACATGCTAAGGGAGTGGTATAGCTAGGTAATATGATATATCTAATTGATTTCTCTGGTGTCTGCACCAATTTTCAATTCCACTGGCAGTGAATTCAGGTTCCCCTCATACTAACCACAATGTTTGACAGGTGTTTTGTTGATCTTAGCAATTATTATTGGGGTAAGATAAAATCTAAAAATAGTTTCAATTTGAATTTCCCACATTTCTAAAGATATTAAACACTTTAAAATATTTCTTAGCCATTTTTATTACTTTTGAGATCCATAACTGTAGCATGAACAAAAAAGACCCAAAGACAGATATTGGGGTTTGAGCTGAAAGTTCAGAGAAGCAAAGCAACTAGCCACTAATTCTTACCTCTACCTCAGATTGAAATGGGTGATTGTGTCTTCACCAAGACTCTGACTGCACTCCTATCTCCACCAAACTTCAGACTTCATTTCCAAGAGACCCTTTGCTTCTTCCTTATATACCTCTCTAGTGCTGGGATTAAAGAATTTTGATCCCAAGTGCTTTTAGACTGTATCAATGCCATGTAGCTCAGTGTGGCTTTGAACTAATAGAGATCTGTCTACCTCTGTGTCCTGAGTCCTGGTATTAAAGTTGTGTACCACCACTGCGTAGCTTCTATAGCTAACTAGTGTGGCTGGCTTTGCATTCTGATGCTTCAGGCAATCTCTATTAAATCATAAGCAATATATCCCCACACATGCCCCATTTTATTAAAGCTGGATGACTAATTTTATTGACTTAATTTTTAATATTTTGCACCTTAATTATGCTATTTTGAGGGGAGAGATGTGGAAGAATTTGGAAATTTTGACTAGAAATGTGATTTAATGTTATAAATAAGGGCTTAATAGACCATCCTTATGGAAGCATAGAAGATAATAGTGTTGATAGAAATGTGGAATGTGGAACCTCAACAAAAGGATTTTCAGGAATCAAGGACATTAGTAGCAACTGGGCTAGAATCTACTTCTGTTATATTTTGATAAAGAATATGGCTTTCTTATGCCCTTGACCTAAGAACTTACCCAAGGTTAGGTTTACAAGTAATGGCCTAATTTGCTTGGAGGAGACAATTCAAAGCAATTTGATATGGATGCAAGTCTATAATGGAAAGAAGCATATGGAGCAGAAAGTAAAATTCAAAAGCATAGTTTAAAGAGAAAAGGAGCACTACAAAACTTAATGTTTCAGCCAATATTTGTCCTGAAAGCGATAAGGAAAATAGCAACATTAAGAGAGTTCTCTTGAGTCAGAGGCAAGCATGCCCTGCTGGGGAGCAGAAGCATTGACAGCAGTGGCTTCCAGTAACTATCTTAAAAGTTCCTCTGAGAAAGAGCACCTGTGTCCCAGCGAGCATCCAGTGCCATTTTCTGTAGGAGATACCCAGTTGCATTAGTGACCACCAGAGACTCGGACCTGCCTGCACCTAGAAGAGTGATAGAGATGACAAGACAACAGTGTAAGAATATACTCAGCAATGTAAAGAGCAAAGATGCACCACCTGAAATGATTGGATCTACATCAACAAGACCTGACCATCCCAATTCAGATGAAACAGAAAAAACAACCTTAAAAATAAGTTTATAAGGATGTGACTGAGATCCTTAAAGAGGAAATGAAAAATTCCCTTAAAGAAGTGGAGGAAACCCCCCAAAATAGGAAGAAACCAACAAATCTTTTAAAGAAAACTGAGAAAACAATAAATCAGGTGAAGGAAAATGTTCAAGATATAAAAATTGAAATAGAGACAATTAAAAATAAAACACAAACCAAGGTAATTCTGGAAATGGGAAATCTGGGTAAATGTTCAGGAACTACAGATTCAAACATAAAACACAGTATACAACAGATGAAAAAGAGAATCTCAGGCACTGAAGACCCAATAGAGGAAATAGATTCATCAGTAAAATAAAATGTTAACTTCAACAAATTTTTAACACAAAGTATCCAGGAAATCTGGGACACCATGAAAAGACCAAACCTAAAATAATAGGGTTATAAGAAGGAGAAGTCCAACTCAAAGACACAGAAAATATATTCAGCAAAATCATAGAAGACTACTTTCCAACTTAAAGAAGGAAATGCCTACAAAAGTACAAGAAGCTTACAGAACACCAAATAGATGGGACCAAAAAAATAGATGCCTTGCCACATAATAATCAAAGCACTAAATAGAGAATAAAGATTATAAGGAGCTACAAAGGAAAAAGGCCAAGTAACATTATAAAGGCAGACCTATCAGAATTACACCTGACTTCTCAATGGAAACAATGAAAGTCAGAAGGTCCTGGACAGGCATTATGCAGTCACAAAGAGATTATAGATGCCAGTCCCTATGATTATATCTAGAAAAGATTTAATCACCATAGTTGGGGAAAATAAGATATTCCATGGCAAAAACAAATTTAAACAACACCTATCCACAAATCAAGCCCTACAGAAAGTACTAGTAGGAAAACTCAAACCTAAGAAAGTTAGTTATACCCAACAACAACAAAAACAAAATAACAGAAACTTGCAACCACTGCACAATGGACTCAATCCATCTATAAGAAGACACAGGCTAACAGAACGGATATGGAAACAGAATCCATTCTTCTGCTGCATACAAGAAACACACCTCAACTACCTCCATTGCTTGTGGGAGTACAAACTTGTACTACCACTTCGGAAATCAGTATGGAAGTTTCTCAGAAAATTTGGAATCAATCTTATGACCCAGCAAAACCACTCTTTGGCATATACCAAAAGGATGCACACCCATACCACAAGGGCATTTGCTCAATTATATTCATAGCATCATTATTTGTTATAACCCAAACATGGAAACAACCTAGATGCCATTCAACTAAAGAATGAATAAAGTAAATATGGTACATATACACAATGGGGTATACTCAGCATTAAAAAACAATGACATTATGAAATTTTCAGACAAATGAATGGAACTAGATAAAGCACTCTGGAGTGAGGTATCCCAGACCCACAAAAACAAATATGGTATGTACTCACTCATAAGTGGATATTAGACGTAAAGCAAAGGATAGCCAACCTACCATCCACAAACACAGAGAAGCTAGGTAGCAAAGAGGATCCCCTAAGAGAGAAATACATGAATCTGCCTAGGAAGGGGAAACAGAAAAGTGTTCTTGAGTGAATTGGAAGCATGGGAGGGAAGGAGAGGATGTAAAGGGAAAATGAGGGAGGGAAAGGGAGTGGGGATAAAAACACTAGGGAAGGGAAGGGAATGGTCAGGTTGGTGGAAGGACAGAGAAGGAGTGGAAGGAAAGAAATATTTTGTTTGAGGGAACAAATTATGGGATTAGCCAGA